GCACCATTATGTTCAATCCCTTTCGAATAAAACTTGAGTTTATTGAAGCAGCTCTACAGAGCGATTTAAATCAAATAGATGTTCTTTGCTTTACAGAACATTGGCTATTTTATAATGAACTTCGTATTTTCCAAATTCCAAACATTTACCTTGCAGGCTATTATTGTAAAGAAAAGAAATTAGGTCCTGCATTTGGGGGTTCTTACAATTACGTTGGAAATAATTTCAATTCTATCTCCTTGCCGGAATTAAACGTGTATTTCGTTTAAAATGTTTTTGAAATATCTAGCACATCTTCCTACGCTACAATTTGTATTACTTTGCGTGTAGAGGCCTCCAACAAAGAGAGCAGTAGATGATATTATGTTCTTAAAAACACAGGAAATAACACTAAACAAAGTCAACAATCGCTCATTTGAGTCCACGCGGAAATTTTAACATTGATTTTCTACTCGAATCTTGTACCTACACGGATCACACTAAATAAAAGTAGGTAGTCTATCAAATAATATTTAACAAAACCACTACTCGATATGAAATTGAAACAAAAGATTTAAGATACAGTGATCACGATGAATACATTTTTACCATTATAAGATACGCGAACACTAACACAATATATAATACACGTATGAGTAGATTGTGTACTAAAAGTAAAATAAAATTATTCATCAATTACTTGCTGCAAACATTCTTGAACGTGGTTTACAAAACTGTTGATACACACGATAAATAGAATTATTTTTTCAACGCTTTCATTTCAACATTTTCTTTCCTCTTCAAAAAAGTATATCAAATAATTCACAGAAAAGCAATTCTTGGATAACATATGGGATTAAGACATAATGTAAAAACAAACGACTTCTTTCTTTTAACTGTAAGCATCATAACGTATCTAAAGATTTCCTCCTCCACTTTACAAAATACACATCATTGTTAAGAAAAGTCATAAGGCAGGCTAAAATCATGAAACATGATCAGTGTATTTTGAGCTCAAATAATAAAACAAAAGCATTGTGGAAGCTATCAACAAGAAACCTTGTAGAGAATGTTTATGTAAAAGATAACGATAGACATGTGAACGATCCGGCAACAGTAGCTAGTCTCTTTAACCAACCTTTTCGAGAATTGCTGGCAATCTCACTAAGGATGTTCAGCCACAAAATTCAAAGTCTGAAGTTTCCCCAAAAGTTTTAGACACAATGTTCGTTTCCGATGAAATTCTCAAAATAATCGGTAGACTAAAAAATAAATATTCGGCTGGTTTTCATGAATTACATGATTGTTTGTTAAAAACCATTATACACCTGTTAACTCACATTTTTAATGTATCCTTATGCACAGGCATTTTTCCAGATCAAAACGAAGCACGTATTGGAATATTTTTAGTTCTTTCAAAAGCTTTTGATGTCATTAATCATAACATTTTACTTTCAAAATTACCTTCGTGTGAAATTCGTGGTATTGCTCTAGATTGGTTATGTTCGTACCTTAATCAACGATCTCAGAGAATAGAAATACATATAACATTATGTTTACACCTTTTCGATTTTTTGACAATTGTATGTGGAGTCCCTCAGGGTTCGAGATTAGACCCCATTCTCTTCCTACTATATGTAAACGATATGCCCTCGACGATTAGAAACGGAAGAACAGTTCTCTTTGCGGATGATTCGAATATTTTTTGCAATAAAGAAAACGTAAAAAGAACAATATCAGATATATTATAATATACTAATAATTATATAGTAAATGAAAAGAAAACTCTTTCAATGCAGTTTATATTTCAAATAAACAGCTCTGTACTCCATTGAAAATGAACTGTGTGCCATTGACTGATGTTAAGGTAACAAACTTTTGGGGTCTTTCAATTCAGACAAACTTTAAATGGAACGTCCATTTAAATAAACTGAGCTCTAAATTAAGTTCTTCATGCTACTCTTTCAGAATTCTTTCAAACTCAGTCAGCCTCCATACGGCTCGTTGTGTATATTTCGCGAGTTTATAAGCTCCCAGACTTTTAGATTACAAAAACGAATTGTACGAACAATAAGAAAATCCCACCCACGTGATTCTTGTAAGCCTCTCTTTATCAATCTAGGCATATTACTATTCCCTTGTCCCTTGGTATATGAATCAGTGATTTTTGTTGACTTACTCAACGTTGCGTGCGATTCCTGCCGTTGACTTACTCAACGGCAGGAATATATTTTCAGCAAAAGCTCATGTCTATAACTACAACACTCGGCGTAATCATATTCATCAGGTGACAGTATCAACAGCTTTCTATCAATAAACATTCAATACATGTATATTATTTTGCCTTGCCACATGACATTAAACGATTAAATTCGGTACAAAATTTTAAGTCCCAAGTAAAATCTCTTCTGCTGCAAAACTGTTTCTATACAATTAGAGACTATTCCGAGCATCCAAAAGGAAAATAATATTAATTTTAACAATAACATTTAATGTATTATGTACCCATTGTATATTTCTGAAGAACCTGTAATAAGTATTGCACTTCAGCTTTTGGGTCTATGACTCCAATCTCGGTCAGGTTTTCGTCCATTTTCCCTATTTCTTGCGCAAATGCTGAGATGACCCTTTTCTTAATTGACGTTCTTCAAATACAGATCATTGTAAGAGCATTAAGGCAATCCGGTCTGACTCATTACACTTTGACATAAAACACAGTACATTTCGTAACAATAACCTGTGCTTCCTTCTCTTTTGACCACAAGTGCACGTTAGAGTTAGATTTCAAAAGTATTTAAAACAAGTTAATAATGGTTCAGTTCAGTTTTTATATCAGTGTTTTTGAGAGACGACGCCTGTTGACAAGTCATGACTTTGTTTTAGAATTTTTTTAAAAAAAATTCAGTCGTGAACGACATCAACATAGGAGAGTTCTTCATTGTGCCTGAAAGTTACAAAACGTCGCGCGAGTGGTTACGCGCAAGTTTTCTTGATATTCTACAGCGGGTGGTGCGTGGAGAGGAGGGCTCTGGCTACGTCACGGATTAAAAGAGCGTACCAACTGTGGACAAGAACTTGCCTTGCCAAAGCGTGTAATGAGAAATACTACGATTGTTTGGAAAGTACGAGGTGGTTGTTGCCAGCATTGTAAATTGGTACGTGCCGTTCCGAGACGAACCTAAGTACCTCAACGTGCCGTGCTATTCAGCGCTGGTTAAGGACTAGAGTGCTCGGACTAGAATCCTCTCTGTGCTCGGGTATGAAGAGAACTTGCGCGAGTAATAGCTGAGAGACCTCTAAACCCCCCTATGCCCGACATCGATCCCGGCTGAGGTGCGTGCGTTTTCGAATGACGGAAAACCCACAGCAGCTGCTCATGCTTGTGGCGTGTAAAATAACCCTGTTAGGTGCCCGGCAAAACTAAATCCCTTCGGCAATTTCCCGTTTTAGCGAAATCTCACGTTCTCCCCATCAGAAAACTCAGGTGTTAATTAATAAAATAAGCAGTTACAACTGTATTCATATAGCATGAGGGAACATTTCATGAAACCATCGCCATTTACCTATACCCAGGGTGGAATACTTGTATAAAATAGGGATGACTCCTGAAGCGGCGCTAATGTACTCCGTTGCCAAATAAAATTAATGATAACAGTGAGAGTTTGTGCTTAATTGCATGATGAAAATATGTGTTTTGTAGAAATGTTCACTTGAAGTGTGATAAATATTTTGCAGATCCAGACAAAACTCCGGAAATAATGCAGATGGACGCACGTATTATTAATGGGACGGAAACTACCGAAAACGAATTCCCGTATCAGGTAAGCAAAAGAAACTTTGTCTTATCGGATCGCCTTTGTAGGCTGTTTACTTACGTGTACGCAGTCGGTGAAGTGGCTCTTTTTCACAGCCCTGGAATAAAGCAGTTATCAATTGTTACGAGAAACAACAGAAAAACCATTGCCGGCGAACTGAACACAGAAAGACATTACGTATTTTGCAGGTCCGGATGACCAAGATTGCTAAGGCAGTACTGCCGTAAAAGTTGATGTGACCTTAAATGACAAAAAGAAGACATTATTTTATTGAAAAATGAAGGAATATACATAGAAACACACTTTTAATTACTAATTTATTAATGAAAATAACACATTTACTCATAATACTCTACAAATAACAAAGTATATTTCACACTTTCGCATGCAAACCTACGAATCTGCATTATGTGTTGGTACTGACTTTTGCTGCAAAATATGCTAGTATAACTTCCTCGCATACTTTCCTAATATTATTCTTTCCTCTCGTAGACTCCTTGCAAATTACGCATTCTTTACGATATACCAGTATCTTTAGGTTTAATGGGCAGTTAATCTTTCACGGCTTCACGTTAATACTTTTACTGCAAGATACCGCAAGACGACGATTGTCAACTCAAATATACCCTTCAAAGCCCTTCAAACTACCACCGAAGTCAACATAATACCATTCATCATTACGCCTTTTATCAACTTTCCCTCTTAATATAGAAATATAAGTATGGAGAAGAGTGTGGATTTTAACGTGAGAGGTCTCTCACGGGTACGCTAGTGATTCTTTAATAAGGAGGAATTGAAGAGGGTTTTCTCTCTATCCTAAAGATCTATATACATCTTTCAACTGAATGAACCCCAACCTAATAGACCTATTTTCTATTTGATAAAGTGTTTATTAGGGACTGAAATTCCGAGGAGTTATGGACATCTCGGTGGTGTTGATACCTTTGCGTCGAAGTGTGCGTCTTTGAGGGGATTGAGAATGTGGCAGACAAATATTATTAAGGCCGCAAAACTCATCGTAAAATGGTTGAAGTTTTATAAAGCCGCAGATTTCAATTCACCATTTGTAATTTTATTTATTGTCAAAAGACTCTAAAAACTCTGTGTGATGTAAAGAGAAGTATGATTAAAGGAGTATAATTAAAGTCGCAGCCATATGCTTCATCCCTCTAAAAACAAATTCATGCACAATTTTTCACCCACCAGATGGCTTTGATGGCTGAAACGAAAGGCGGACCTTCTTATTACTGCGGAGCTTTCCTTATTAGTTCAAGATATGCCATCACTGCAGCTCACTGTGTGAATTCGTAAGTACCTGCAAACGCAATGCAAAAACGAAATCTTGGAAATTAAAAAAATAAGTAATACTCCACAATTGTAATAGAAGGCAGAAATAGTCACAGTTTGTAGATTAAAAAAGAAAGACGGGCCCCTTCGGGACTAGAAATAGGTTTAAGAGCCTAAGATGCACCATTGTCGAATAATGTACGTGGGTGTTGAGTATTCCGGCGTAATGTGTTTCACATAGCCTATGTTGCAGCGTGGGCTTGTATCTGATCATCTCTTCGCAGCATCCGATCTCCATATTACATAAAGTGTATTTTTGACTTAAATCTCTGAGGGAGGAATTCCGTAACCTCTAGTAACACATTACGATATTTTTGTCGGAGTTTTTAATATTGAACAAAACGTACAATTTTTTTATAGTGTCAAATGAAAACTTTGGGACAGAATCAAGTTGTCTCCATCGAAAGCAACATCTCGCTATTACTGAGGGCTAATATCTTGATTTCTGCCGACTTGTCTCTCGTTTTGTTACTGCCTCGAACACTACATAAATACCAATAATACATAAATTATATAGCTAAACTTTCACCAAATTCGAGTTACTAGCATTTAAGAAGAGTGGGAGGCTTGCTGCAGTAGTGTGGGCACTGGCCTGAGCCCTTCACATAGGGAAGGGATAATAACAATATTATGAGGTCTGAAAGGGCAACAAGTGTTGACAGGGAGGTTCTCGAATCGGAGTGCTGGCGGAGGCGGATTTTTGACACTAAATTCGACGTTAGGTCAAATCGGCCGCTGTCTCGAGACGAATTCTAGCGGCTGGCGGCTAATAACCCTAGTTTTTCGTGATTTATCCGATCAATACCTGGCGAATACCGCGCAACATCCCCCCCCTCCACACACACACACACACACAAAACGGACCGCACAAGATTTTTCCCCTTCTCCTACGCAATTGATGGAATGATTGGCAAGTCAGAGAAGGTCCGTGGTCCCGTAAGTGTAGTGTATGTTTTTCCGCGTGACTCGCGCTGTCTGGGTAGATAAGGCGCCGACCTACGTTGGCTTGCGGGGTTTTCCTCAACCATGTATCTCCCACCAGTGTGGCACTGATCCAGCCGGGACAATCTCCTGGCGCTGACCGGAGAAACCACGGAAAACTACCGACAGAGCAGCCGGTTGCTAAAATTGCCCTACAGACAGCGGCTGAATTCGTCTGAGCTGTCTAACTAGTGATATTTATTATTATAGCATTTGACGAGCCTAAAGACACGAAATATTTAAATTCCCCACCTTTTTTCGCTCGACTATTCTGATACGCACTGCATCAAAAATAAATTAATTATCCAATTCATTTAGAATTTTGTTGTAATCAATGGGATATTGCTTATAAATCTCCGGTTCATTTTTGGCACAGACGTTGAAATGACCCGAATCCTTGATCTTCATTGACCCCCTTCAAAATTTCATGGACCCCCGCAGTAGGGAACCGCTGAATGAAATCACTCACGAGACGTGCGTTGACGGCGGTGCGCGCGTGCGTGCCGGCAGCCCGCTGGCGTTCAGCGTGCGCGTGGGCAGCCTGTACCACTCGCGGGGCGGCGAGAAGCGGCTCGTGGACAGCGCCATGAAGCACCCGCTCTACGACCCCGAGAGCAACGACTTCGACGTGGCCGTGCTGCTGCTGGCGCCGCCCGCGCTGGCCTTCTCGCGCGACGTGCAGCCGGCGCAGCTCGCCTCCGCCGACTCCGACGCGCGCGCCAACGAGCTGGGCGTGGCCACCGGGTGGGGCACCATCAATCCCAAGGCACGCGCGCACGCGTTACGGAAACCCCTGTACACACACACGCGCGCGCACACACGCACGCACACACACACACGCACACACGCGCGCGCGCACACACACACACGCGCGCGCGCTCACACACACACGCGCGCGATCACACACACACGCACACACGCGCGCACACACACGTGGAGGTTGGTATGTATCAGATCGATGAACTCCGACGCCGATTGGCAGGTCTCCATGAAAGTTGGCACATCTGCGGGGTTTTTGATGGAGAACGTTTTTATGCTCTTCATTGTGTTAGTGCTTGAGATGGCATTTCAATTAAATGCAATTCTCATTTCCCCAACTGGACGTCATTGTTACTGGATGTTACCGTGTAAAGCACAAGGGCAAGGAGGAGAAAACGAACGTCAAGAAAAAGGGGGAGAGAGAAAAAAAAGAAAAACAGAGACAAAGAAAGAGAGATAGATTGAGAGAGAGAAAGGTGAGGGGAGAGCAATGGGTGGAGTGAGTGTTAAGGTGGGGAGTAGGACGCCTGGGTTCTGCATAAAATAGTTATTTTGATACTAAGTGCGTGAGTTTTCTATTTTTTACACGATCGAGATTGTGCGAAAAAGAACAATTTCACTTACAAAATATAAACAATTTTTCTACTATCGTATAAATATGCTTTATTTACGTATCATGATTTTTTCATCTTTAGTCTCCATAGTTTATTCGAAAGGAACCCCCACCGTTGTTAATGTTTAGATAACAAGAGGCCCTGATTTATGTCATACGGTAGTGAGACCTTGGTGTTTCTTACGAGTTCCTGTTGTAAGAGTAACTGGTTCTGCAATAATTAATTTTATTACCCTAAATCCCTAAGATATTTAGGATTATTTATATCTGTCTCATTGGTACACATTGGAGAGTTCCTAAGAGTTTCGTAATGTGTCTTAATAGTGACGTATTAATTCTGTGCTAATAGTTTAAAAATAAGTTAAATAAAAAGTTATTGGGCAGAGTTTAATAACTGTGAAATTAAAGTTGTTTTGAAATGAATGTGTGCATTATTTCCTTACTTTTCTTGAAGATACTTGCTGTACGTAAAACTTTGTTTTTCAATTGTTTTGTCAATTGTAGAAAAGTCTTTTATGCATGGGACGTCACGATTTTTAGGTGTTTTAGGAAACAAAGACTAACATTACGCACGCGTAGAAACTCACATTTTTATATGATTGTAGAAAAATGTATTCAGTATATTTATGTGTCTCGGGATAAATGTGACTGAAATTCTAGAGAATGAAGAGAGGTCGTAGATGATTACTTTTTTCCCAAAAACAAATTTAGTAGTAGGAAATTTCATATAATAAAGTTAAAAACCAAAATTTGTACAGAGATGGGAGGTAAATATTCATACATTGATGATTGGCAGGCTATATTCTGACATGTTTACTTGCCACACATCGGTGAATGAAAAAAAAGTTTAAACTAAAGTTCTTTAAACAATTAGATCATGAACTGAAAGGCTGAATGCGATCATTTTCCCTTCCCTAAATAAATGTGTTTCATGGATATACGAAATAACGTCTTCAATTATACCATAAAAAGAACATTTGATTGATTTATTGGAAATAACCCTGTTGATTCTAGTTATCGCCGACCTGGATGGCCGAGGTGGCTAAGAGCGTGTACCGACTCAGTGTTTTTCTGCCCGAAGGGTCGCGGGTTCGAGTCTCACCTTGGGCGTGGGGGTTTGTCCCTTGTCTCTCGTGTATCTGTTGTCGCGGAGGGCCTCGCGTTCTGCTGCCCTCAGGTCAGAGGAGCCCTCAAATGTGTTGGAGTCTAGTGCATTGTAGAATAATCGTCCCATTGGGAGGTGAAGAGTAACCGGCTTTCGGCTTTATAAAAGCCCTAGAAAGAAAAATTCTACTTATCAAAACGCTTTCTTGCATCTAATGCCGTAACATTGTAATTTGATGATTTATTTTGCAGACATCCACTCCCTCGAACACGCTGATGAAAGTAAATTTACCTATATTGTCTCGGAAGGAATGTGAAGGTGCATACGGGGCCGCCATCACTGCGAGAATGCTGTGCGCTGGCTACTTGGACGGAAGCCACGATGCCTGTCAAGTAAGACTGAACGACTATCCTTTAAATGCACTATGTTGATGTAATATACTCAGGGATTGATTTCTGAAGGAACGGCGTTTCGGTACGTCGGAATCACATTAGGAAAGCTCTTATTCTAGAACATACTATCGTATATGCTACATATAACAAAATTGTCTTATGAAACGATTGTTATCCTACGAGATGGCCACAGTGGTGATGAACCTTTCCCTTGAGAGTGATGTGTGTGCAGTTCCGAATTTTGCGGAATAGCGGCTTTAGGGCAATATGATATCCAGCGACCTGTTATCGCTGGATGCCGTGCTTGTGGGACGTGATTCGCGCGGTCTCCAATAGATCACTGCGTTAAAAGACGCCCAAACCCATTTTCGGACGAATTTCTTAGAATCTTCTGGATAGATTCGAAAAATAATGATCGGTTCCTTACCAGGGCACGGAGACGCGTCGAATGACGCCTCATTTATCTCGATTGGTGAACGGAAAGTGGTCTGAACACGACTGACTAATCCGCACACTCACGGACAGACAATTACTCAGGTTACTCGAATTCTATTCAGTGGTCTTTCGAGTGGTAAAGTAGCATTTTATTTTCAGAATAGGAAAGGTTGCGACATGAGGCCGACAGACCACAATTCTACGAGCAAAAAAAAAATTAATATTCCGTGTGTCATTTACAATTTTTTAGACGGCCTTACTGTAATTTTATTTCTATTGAATTTTACAAACCACTTATTGTGTACTAAGTTAAGTTAATCCTCCGAGGTAACTGATGTGATCTGGCGAAATTATTTTTACTTTTGTGGTCTTAAGAAGGAACTTCTTTAAAAGAGAAAGTTATGTAATGCTGAGCGAAAAACAGCGCATTTTTGTCAGAAAAACTCTTATTACAGTGCTCTGGTGGCTGTGGATCTTCTGCTAGCAGTGACGCGAACACGCTTCTGTGCTGGTGGTGGCGAGAGTTCGCCACCAAACGCCACAGCAGCGTGACTCTCGTGTGAATACCTCTTTTTAAACCAATGCTTTGCTAGCAGACGTACCATTCGGAAGCGCTGCTACGTGGCGCCCTTAGGGCCCCTTCCCATGACGTCACGCAGCACCGCTTCGGCGTGGCGTAGACGGTATCAAGCATTGATTTAACGGAGGTCTTCCCACGAGTGGCGGGTTGGCGCTGCTGTGGAGCTCGGTGGCGCACTCCCGCCATCAGAAGGGCAGAAATGCCACCACTCACAGAAGGCAGCTTTGAATGGTAGTCTTCCCGCTAAGACTCTCGGCAGCGGTGCTTCACCTGCTGCATAGATCGTGGCCGCCGACGCGTCGGTCTCCCAATCCCTCCCCATTCCACGGCGGCGGGGGCGTGGGGAGGGCCCTACCCCCATCTCTATCAGGTTTTCGTCAAGTTTCCCCGATCCATTGAGCAAATGGATGGCTCCTTGTTTTGCTTCTGGACGTAAATGTAGCTTTATTATGCGCACGTTTTATTGAACTCTCCTTTTGCTTGTAATGGCAGGAGTAGAGGTAAGGGCGAGTTATTATTTGTTAGCAATGCAGAAATATCATACTTGCAGTTCGTTTACCGATGCAAATAAGTTTTCTTTAACTCGTAAACGAAAATGTTTATTATTTTGAAATATTGCTAATCTCGCGCTTTTTTAAAATTTATTTTTATTTATTTATTTTAAACTTTTACTCATCTTTCCACTATTTATAGTTAAAATGACGGGTAGGGATTCTGGAACTCAAGAAAACAAAGGCAGATGATTTTTTCCGTCGTACGTCACATACAGTTTTTACTTTTTTTTGGACTAAATAAATCTGAATGTAAATGTAAATCGGAAGCGCTGGCGCGTGGCGGCGCGGGGCGCGGGAAGGGCAGGTTGACGCCGCGTGGCGTGTGTGGCAGGGCGACTCCGGGGGCCCGCTGGCCGTCGGCGGGAAGGTGGTGGGCGTCGTGTCGTGGGGCTACGGCTGCGCGCAGGAGGGCTGCCCCGGCGTCTACACCAGCATCAGCAGCGTTAGGCAGTGGATTCGCGAGGTCACGGACGGCGTCTAGTTGGACTCCTTCGCTCCCCCTGCAGCAATATCCCATCTGGGTAAAACAGCAAAGCCCAATTTAAATAGGCATAATTTAAAAACCCTCCATCACTTATTTATAATAATGCAATTTTACAATATTTATAATAAATTATGCAATACTACAATGAAAATAATTTTAAAGTTGTGTTATACTTTATAGGTCCTTGTCTTTCCCTCAGTAATTATTTCTTCATTTATTTGCATTATGTCAGTGTATATAATTCATACATTTAAAATATGGTATGGATAGACTTATTTTATTCTTCAAAACCTTCAAGGATTTTTGTAATTGAACAAGGAAAAATAAAGTTCAAACGCAAATCTAGTAGACCTGTGTTATCCAAATCACCAACAACTTTATATGAAGTAATGAAATGATTTGTTTACGTTAATAAAATGCTTTTAGGGAAATATTTTCTTATATTTGTGAAAAGTTGTGTGAACCAGAGATTAAAGATAATTTTTTTGTTTTGTCAGTGGTTGTGCTAATATGGGGATTTCTAATTCTTCTAGGTGATTCCACACATTGGACATTCGGTGAGACGCCACCACTCACCGAATCTTGAGTAGTGTAGATGAGTGGCTTGCTATTTCCCGAGCGACGACCATTCGGTGCTCGCCCTTTCCACTGCGTGTCCTTTTTTTCTCCTCATCGAAGGAAGCGAACATTCGTCGAGCACATCAGCTCGGGATTGGGTGAGCAGTCACTCGCTATTTGACGAATGCCGAATGTGTGGAGCCATCTTTATAGAATTGTTTTTAACCCCATTTTCGCCTGAAGTGAGAAGACGGCACTCTCAAAATCAGTATATTCGTTACTGATTGCCAGAGTTACTTTTTTAATTGTCATATCTTCTGGATGTTGGTGTAATGTGGATCACGACGCATTTGATTGCCAGTAATTGTTTTGAAAAATCTTTAATCATAAATCTCCCCCTTCGGCAAAAAGGTGATCAATGAATATTAACGTCTGAAAAATGTGTAAAAATAAGTAGAAAATATCAATGTAGAATGAGGTAACGGGACAATGGCAATCCTCAACGTGACCTCCGGAAAATTTTGAACCTGCGCAAGATGGGTGCAAAAATTTCTCTGAATATTTTTGAACGCGATTTTTGAGTGAACGCCCCGCACTTATTGGCAAGCGGTATAAAACAATATCTGTTGAAAGTTTCTATTAAATCATTAATAACTACGCACATCTGCATAGTTTAGAATGAAGTAATGAGTATATGGAACCTTCAGACTTTGAATTGAGTTTTATATTTTGATCGATTTAATGTTAGGTTGACGTTTTGTTGTTTAATATCTTTTATTAACTGTGGAGCACTGAAAAGTCTGTAGTGGGTTTATAAACTAAAGATCTATTTTATATCTTCAAATATTGAGAATTTTAGTTATTAATCTTTCTTAACCGCCTACTTTGAACACATTTCTTATGAAAATCGTATATTGTCAAGGAATTATTTGTTCATAGTGTAGTACAATATACAAACTGAATTAAAACAAACTAGTAGGTAATCATTTTGCTAAAATCTGAATTGTAATAACATTTCTAAACTAAAACATTCAGAATTCTGCAGTGAAAGAAAAGTAAATGGAAGTTTCGCAGTTAAGAATGAATTAAGAACGATCAGAAGCCTTTGTGGTTAAGCATTATGAGACACTTTCAATGCAATAAACACAGTTTGAACAGAAAACTTTTTTTTACTTGGAATCAAAATCGTTGGTATTTCAGAGCCGAAGACATTGGGTTCGAATACTGGTGGCATGGACGTTATCCTCATAAGATGCATACGAGTATCTCAACTGAACATCATCTCATTTATAACACTGCTCTATAAAAAAAATTGTTTTCGATTAATACGTGGTACTAAACGGAGTGTTGGCGCTGAGTTTAATACTGCAATCCGTTTTTTCTATCACGTCAGGTTTTTGAAAGAGAAATAAATTTGTTAAATATAAAAGTCCTGTTTATATACCATTGCATGGCGTAGAACGTATCTAAGGGCCGAATTCACAGTCGTCTCATACACTTGAGTGTTCCCTTAAGTGGACGAATCGTATTCATAAACAGCCCTTGAGTGAAGTCTTAACTGAGCACTCATTCCTATAAGCAAG